ACGTCGACGCCGCCTCGGTCGGCATGGCCGGTCCCATGCCCGGCGCCGCGGGCATCGGCGGCGCACAGTCGATGCGCAGGGTGCACGACTCGCACACCGAGTTTGTCGTCGGCATCAGCTGGTCCCTCTTTCGAGAGGGCCTCGTCGCCTCGACGGCGTGGGATACAGAGACACATCTGTGGTCGGCGCTCGGGTGAGGCGTGGCGCGGCGCGACGTGGCGCAGCGAGGCGGCGCGAAGGGATGTTACGGGACGAGGCGGGGCGAGACGCGGCGGGTAGACGCGGTGATGGGGCGAGACGGACATGGGCCGATACGGTACCGGGCCGAGACGGGGGCGACGGGTGTGCCGAGGGGGCAAGGAGGGACGAGCGGCGGTGCGATCATCGCTGCGCCGACTAGTGACTGGACGAAGCGTCGTGCAATTCAAACAAAGACGATACCATCTCCCCTCTCTGCAAGCCGGCCCTTGTGCGGCCGTCCACCAAGCCAGCCGGCCACCCAACCCATCTTGCAAGCCCAATCTTGCCCGCTTGCTTGGGTCCGTACCAGTGCCCGGCAAAATTCGATATTTTATTCCACACAAAAATGCCACACTGCCCTCCCTGGCCAAACAGCAGCCCACCCCTGCCTTCCAGACTTGCCCTGTGCTGGGACCAAAGTCAGCAGGGGGTACACAGAGAGAGCTGAGAGATGGATCCTTGACCTCTTTGCAGTAGGAACACAGCTTGATCCTGGGAGGATGCAGGATGGTCAGAGGAGACCCCTTGTAACCCTAACAACCCTAACCCCAGCCCAAACCCTAGTAATAAAGTCCACTGCCACCCACGCGATGGTGGTTTTTGGACGCTGCTCTGGTGCTGCGTGCCCAAAATTGCTCGCATGAATCTGGACAATGGGAATTCCCACCGTCCTCTCGTCCAGTGCGTTGGCAATCCAACTTTTTGTCGTGGCAGGGTGGGAATCTGCAGAGCGTGCAGCACCACCACCTCCACCATGACAATCCAACTTTTTTCAGTACAGCGCCAGCCATGCCATCACTGCACGCCTGCAGAAGACCCTTAATTGCGCAGTGGTTGGTGGTGTTTTGTGGTGGTGGTGGTGGTGGTGGTGGTGGTGGATGGTGGTGGTGGTGGTGGATGGTGGTTGGTGGTTGGTGTCAGGTTTGACCCACCCAATGTCATTTGCAGGACGTGTTGAACACGTGTTTGTGCTCTTTGCGCGATATGCCAGGAACGCTCGATCACCCCAGGTCCGTCAAATATCGTCGCATTTTGCATTCCCTTTTCTGTGGCAGTTGTAACATCACCAGTAACTGTAGTTTACTGCAACCACCGTCTCGCTATAGTCAGGCACCCATTATCAGGGTGGGCTTTGTCCGCACCATGAAGCACCCATATGCCTCAGCAGCTGTGTTTGCTTTGTCGCGGGGCGCCCAACAAACACGCCTTTGACGCCTGCTCTCAGCATGAGCAGGCCGCCTTGTTGCGCAGTGCCCAACAAACAGTTGCTGGGGCCTCACCTTGTCGCGCGGCGCCCGACGA